CCAGCAGAGGCAGCGGGATTAGCGAATGAGCGTGATGAGCTCCGACGTACCAACCCTACTGATCCCAGAGTCAGTGAACTGACAGTGGAAGTCAACCGGTTGGTACAGGAGCATAAGCGGAAAAAGTGGCTAGACCATCTGAAGTGTTGCAACATTGGAACCGATTTGAGTAAACTGTGGGTAACGGTAAAGTCACTCTCGAACCCTGGAAAAAAGGATGATAGGACAGCAGTCACATTTAACGACGTAACTGTGACTGATCCGAAGAGGTGCGCTGGCTGTTTTAACCGCCAATTTGTCGAGCACCCCGAGAGTGATAGGGCGAGGCGAAGAGTACTACGTCGTATAAGAGCTCTTCCCGCCGAGGATGTACCTCCACAGTTTACGATGGGTGATGTTGCGAATGTCATCCGAAACGCTAAGTCATCTAAAGCGTTGGGCCCGGACGGAATATCAATGGTAATGTTGAAGCAACTGGATACGCCGGGAGTTGAGTATTTAACCAAAGTCCTTAACTTGTCGTTAGCCACCCACATAGTTCCCGAAGCCTGGAAAATGGGCAGGGTGGTCCCGCTACTGAAGCCTGGCAAGGATGCCAGCAAAGGCGAATCATACAGGCCAATTTCGCTTTTGTCGCCAGTAGCAAAGACTCTCGAGGCCTTACTCCTCCCCAGTATTAGAGGAAGCTATTCAGTTGCTAACCATCAACACGGTTTCCGTCCACTACATAGCACTACTACAGCATTGCACGCCATATCCACACATATCAGTCGAGGACTCAACCAGAACAGGCCGTGCCACAGAACAGTAGTGGTGGCTCTTGACCTATCAAAGGCCTTTGATACGGTCAACCATGCCACGCTGTTCGAGGACGTTGAGAACACTACCCTCCGGCCAAGTTTGAAACGTTGGATAGTCAACTATATGTGTGGACGCCAGTCGTACGTGGAATTCCGGAATAAGAAGTCCAAGCCTCGTAGAGTGAAACAGGGAGTTCCCCAAGGTGGGGTGATATCTCCGGAACTGTTTAACCTCTACCTTTCCGGAATTCCGCGCCCTCCAGACGGCATCGAGATCGTAACTTATGCGGATGATTGTACGATCATGGCGTCGGGTCCTGTAGTTGATGACATATGTGTCAGGGTGAATAACTATCTCGCGGAGCTTGCCGCCTTCTTCCACGCGAGGAATATGAAAATATCCGCCACTAAATCGACGGCCACACTATTTACCACATAGACTGCGGAGATGAGAACACAGCTGAATGTGCAGGTCGAGGGGCATATAATTCCGACCACCAACTACCCCAAAATCCTTGGGGTCACATTCGATAGCATGTTCAAGTCTTCCGCGCAAGCCACAGCTATTTGCGATAAAATGAAAAGTAGGAACAAGGTCCTCAAGGCGCTAGCCGGCAGCACTTGGGGTGCGGATAAGGAAACCTTGTTAACCTCTTATAAAGCGATAGGTCGGTCTGTGGTTAGCTATGGCGGCTCCAGTGTGGTCGGCGAATACAAGTGCAACGCAGTGGAAATGTATTCAGACCTGCCAGAATGCCGCCCTGAGAACTGCAACAGGGTGCCTCCTCATGACACCTGTGGACCACTTACATGAGGAGACGAAGGTTCTTCCCTTACGTCAGCATAATCATATGCTTTCGTTGCAGTACCTGCTTGGGTGTTATCGCGGGAGTCACCCTAACCACCATATGGTGGATAGAACTCCTCCACCTAGGCGTGTCAGGAAGGACCTGCACGATCTAGAGAGAGAGGTCCAGCGATATAAGAGAGAGCCTCTAGATCATGAAGCCTATCAAGCGGGTCTGAATAGCATTCATACCGATGCAGTCACTGAGGTAGTTAATAATTACAGTATGAATGCCATACTCGGAGTCCACCCCCCATCCATTGCAGCTGAAGAACGTCGGCTGCCTAGGCAAACCAGGGTAGTTTTGGCCCAACTACGTTCAGGATGGTGCAGCCGTCTCAATTTGTATTGGGCACGAATTGATGAGGATGTGCGGAACGCCTGCCCAGCGTGCGATACAGGCCCGCACAACACGCTGCACTTGTTTAATTGTCCTGCCAAACCTACCCAACTCCGTCCAGAGGATCTATGGCTACAGCCCATAAAGGTAGCAGAATTCCTAAACCTGGACATTGAGGAAGAACCAGATTAGTCGGAAAAAACAACAGAACGTGTAAAACTGCTACAACAACAACATAATGCTGTATGTAGTGCTTGAACCGACAAGCTGGGCGTCATTTCTAATAAAATAAATGAGATGGGACAAATAATACGTTCATAAACAGGGCTTGATGGCATAAGGCCACTTGACGTTCGCATTGATTCACTGTTCCTACCTATCTATTTTTGTATAGGTAGTCGGCGGGAAAATGAACTTTCAAATCTGTCGCAAAAGCTGTATACACCAGAAGACAGTAAAAAAAAAGAAACATATTTGACAAAAACAACTGTACCACAAACATGACCATAGCGGAATGCATTATTTGCTGTGTTTCAATTAGAGATGAATGTGCCGATGATTAGTCGGCAGAATCGGGCTGGCGATCTTGTTTATCTATTTGTGTTTTTGTTGTAGTTGGCAACAGACAACGAATGTGCGCATTCTTGCGTCCAAAAAACAAACGAAACAAAACTTTTTTGATTCTCTGCCAAAAGAAAAGACCGATTGGCGACGTTTGAAAATGGCGGGAAACTTTCATGTTTAGAAATAAAGGATTTATTTTTGTCAATACATACCTACAACTTGTATTTTAAAACATAAAAGGGAACATTGTACCTATGAATGCAGATGTCGCAAATTCACCCGATCCCTTGACTCGAAAGTCAGTATTACTACCATATTCCTTCACTTCCTCACTTTTAAGGCTAAAAAATATCAGAAAAAACTATTTAACTTTGAATGAATTCAATTTTAGTGTATATACTCAAGATTTTCTCTATTCATTGTTCCAAAAGACAGTATAAAGAGGGCATGATTATAAATATATGTGATAATATCTTTTAAAAATGATCCTTTTGGGATATATGTACTGACATTAGTGGTTCTCAATATATCTAAGGTTCGTTCCTCAAAAAAGTTAAGCCGATACATTTACACATATTTTTTTTTTTTAAATTTCTACTTTCAAATGGTGGAGGGTATCGAAAGTTCGGCCCGGTCTAACTTGACTTCTATTTTATTTTATTTTTTTATATTGTATATTCCATATACATATTTCCTTGTCAAATGTTATTTTGATCAAAACAAAAACAGTTATAAAATCGTGTCAAAGTGGTTAGGTTTTCTATTTGCCTCTTTCATTTAATAAAAAAAAAACTAAAAACCGACACTAAACTAAATATAAACCCAAAAAAAAAAAAAAAAAACAATACATTAAAAAGATACTAATCAAAACAAAAAACACCGAACGATGATCGATACGAGTCGTAAGAGTCCATCCCCAAACGATACTCGCAAACAGAATAACAAATGATAACGTTTGAACAAAATATTCGGAGGGCTGTTAGATTGTTGTCATGATTTTTAGGCGCGAAACACTATTTTACATTTTGTATTTCCTTACGCCACACTTTCGTCACAAAACCCCAAAAATACAGATAAGTACAAACACGAGAAAGCCAAAATCGGCAAATAGTAAGAACAAACAAAAATATCGCACGATGATTGGACTTGTTTTGTTTTTGGCTCGCGTTGTTCTTCGATTCGATTTTATTTGTTGACGATTTTGTTTTTGGCTCATGTTATTCTGAAGAAAAATTGTGACATACACACACGCACACACGGGTACTAACATATCTACACAAAACAACTTAAGAACCCAAACACAAGTGAAATGCGTGTGTTTGATTTTTGGCGCCTTTTTTCGACATCAAGGATGACTACAAGCAAACATACGACCAAAGAAATCTGGGTACAGTTCACCCACATCCTTTGGAACGCACTACTGCCTTTGGAACCGGTCCAACTGCCGAGTCCAAACTATTAAGATGTTAATTTGATTTCATAGCCACCAATTGTTACATAACACCTATTTACGATTGTTCAAACATATATCTTCATTCTCTGCTTGCAAGGCAATGCAATTCACAAATTGTTACTTTTGTCTCATTTTCTGTTGTTTTTATTTTTTGTTGGCCAAATACTATTTGTCTCCATCAAATCATATATAGATAAGCGCATCGACAGCGTCATAAAAAGCGGGCACACTGACAGACGGGTAAGGCGAAAAAAAAGAGCTTTTGCGGTGGCGGTGTCGGTTGCCGTTTTACACATGAAAAAGTCATCTTGTAATTGGAAAACTAATTTTAACTCAGCTGATTATTGTATCTGACTATTACAATAGACGTTTTCCCAATGTTATGTAATAAAACTATTGTTCACTTCAACGACATTCATTCATTTAAAAAAGGTTGTTCGAATTATTTTAACCACTGGCTATGATATGAAGTAATCATAACCAGTGGTTAAAATAATTCGGACAATACGAACAGAAAACTAATAGGTGTCTTTATTTCAAAAGCTATGAATAAAGACACCAGAGCTAAAATGTGTAGTGTGGATGCCTTTCTTAAAAGAACGCTGGCTTACTCCAGCAGATAAATGCTACAGACTAATATATCAAGCATTCGTAGTGGAAACACACCCATCGTCGCCGTCGAGAAATACATTTAGGGGTTGATGACAAAATGAGCCATATGCGATCTTATTGGAAACGTAATTCGAGATTTGTGTCCATGAACAGATGGCGTAACATGAGATTTGTAAACAAGGGTTGCTAACGTTTTTTGCCCAAGGAGGAGGTTGTATTACCAGACAACAAATAAGGAAACGAAGTCCTATGACGTAGTTGTATAACCTTATTTCAAGGAAATCAGGCGCTGGTTTACAAAGAGAAGGCGAAACAAGTTTTTAAGACATTTTTAATACTAGAATCGGACTAATGTGGTCGCTTTTCATATCCTGCGATTCTTACCTGTTAGCAACTGTTGCCTGGCGTAGGGCTTTGGACGTTCCGAGCTTGATATTGACGTTTGCACGGTTTTACAAGCTCCAGAAATGGAGTTCGCTGTCTCATTAATGCATTTTACGTTTGATTTAACCTTCTCACAGTTAGCTCTTTTCAAATTGCACTCTTCCTCTTGCAAACGCTTTTTATGCTCCTTCATTTCATTGTCAATCAGTGTGGGCAGCGAGTGCGTTGGCCGTTGGCTGGGGACAGAATCAACAACAACGCTGCTTACATTTGTGGGTATATCCTGTGATCTTAGGGCGTCAATATCGATATTGTAACGTTGCATGACGTAGGATTGGCAGCGTTTAGTCTCCTTCTGAAACAAGCTGTTGACTTCCCCCGGCTGTGGCGAACCGAAAAGGTTACGACTGACCCCACGAATTCTCTCCAAGGGCGGACGCCTCGGTGCAGTTTGCAAACTTGCTGTAGAAGCTGTTGTCGCCGATGAAGTTGTGTGCGGCAGACCCATTGCCTGCACCCGACACGCGAACAATTCTACACTGCTGGCAGTCATTTTTATTTTTTCTACTTCTAATAATTAACAAAATCAAGCAACGGAGGTACAAATTTCACTTTTATATTGAAAACGTATTGCTTTTTTCTTTCTATGGTTCCCAATGGCATCAACCCAATTTCTGTTTCACTTCTCTTTTTTTTTATAAATAATTTATGAGCTGCATTTCTGACACATCTCTGTTGGTGTTTCTTTCTTTTCACAAATGCATTGTTGATTAAGACAATCATTTATTTTTTCATATTTCTTGTTTAATTTCCAACATGGAATGAAGTCACACAATTTCGATTTTCTCCTCAAGCGTACAGTGCCATCCATGCAATTTGTCAGGTTTATTTTTTTAATTTCTTCTTTGTTATTATTCTCTGCGTTTTCTTTTTCACTCTCACAATTCGTATAGTTATTTATTTTTCTTTTTATTAATGCAAATTAGGGAAATGTTTGAATTCCTTTCTCACGATTTTTCTCCTTTTCTAACTCTTGCATGTAAAGATTATTCTATTGCAAAACATTAAAAGATTCATTTGTTTTGTGAAATAAAATATTTTTTTTTCTTGAAATGATGCGCGACGCGCAAAGCCACGACCGAACACTCCGAAGGGAAAATTAATAGTGACAACACAAAACATCAACGACGCAAAACGAGTGTGTGTGTGTGTGAGTGAAATAGTACGAAGCAGTACAAAGAGAGCACCATTTGGTACCAATGAACGAGAGCAAAAAACAATGGGTGTGTTCCTTCATAAAATATGTAGATAAAAAAATACTTGATGTTGACGAGACGAAAATCCACACAAAGAGTTCCTTTTGAGCATGGCATAATTACAGGAGGTAGAAAAAAGCTACCCCCTAAAATAATTTTTTTCGAATTGTGCCCTTATTCTGTCAAAACATATACACATTATGTGTATGTATTGTTTTGAATAAAAAATACAAAAAATGGAAATAATTTCAAATTTGTTTGCAAAATAAATACAAATTTTCGACGAAAAGTGTAACAAATTGTACAATTTTGTTATAAAACTGTATTGTCCTACTATTTTAAATGCAATCTTGTTTCGCGGGTTCTTCCCAATATTCTTATATTTTGTTAAAATAAACTAAAAATAAACAAAGCCAACTGTTGCATATTTAAGAGTCTATTTGACAAGAGCACAGAGTTGCATTATACAGGTCCCATATATCGGTACCTCCCTATATTCAGTATTTTGACGATTTTAGGTAAATTTTCACCGAAATCGTACTACGTCCTGCGGCAGAAAATTGTCTATGCAAGTCCAGGGCCTCAATTCTTGTTCTATGAAAATGTGAAATGAAAACTTTTATAAAGGAAAGAAATGTCAAATGAAAAATTTTATAAAGAAAATATTTTTCATTTCATATTTTCATAGAACAAGAATCCAGCCCCAGGTCTTTGTAGAGGCCTTATATATTAGTACCTCCCTATAGTCTCGGTCTTAAAGTCGTTGCATATTCGGTATTTTGATGATTTTAGGTCAATATTCACCGAAATTGTTTGAATTTTCATATTTGAAGTTCCTGAAAAGTATTACGGCCTGTGACAAAGAATTGTATATTTTCCTTGATTTTTACGGGAATTTTTTATTTATTTTGTTTTCAGTAGTGTGTATGTATTAGTTTTGTTCTGCTTATGCGGGGTTGAAGCTGGATGAAATTTAAGTCCAACCAAAAACGAGTCTCCTCACCGAAAATGCCTACAAACTGTTTTGTTAGACCTGAACGATTACTCTCGTGTAAATTGGCCATTAATTTAGCTCATGGTAGAAGAATATATATAGAGGTATCCAAATTCGCAAACATTGATTTGTCAAAATTTTGTTAAAAATACCTCAAAAAATAAATGGAATTTAAAAGCATTTCTTGAACGACGCCAATCGGAGGTTGTTATGACATGCATTTTTCAATAATTTTTACAAAATTTCGATATTTTTCATTCAAAAATTTCAATTCCAAAATTGGTTTGACAGCTCATTGTACCAACAGCTGTGTTGATGCGCCTACCTGTATTATTTTATCATGATTTAGCTTTCTTCTCCATATTTTATTATTAGGAGTGTTCGCTTACTCAATAATTTGCACATATTTTTACTGGAAGCTGTTCGTGAACCCAAAAGTTCAGTAATTGAGAGAGAAATAAGAGAGATATTTTGACATTTGAGTTATTGAGAGCGTTAACATTATTATTGGTGAAATTTCCCCAATAAGAATTATCCAGTAACATCAGCTGATTATTAATCCGATGTTTTGGAAACAAACAAACAAATGTAACGTATATTGTTTTTTTAGAATAAACCTATTACATTTATTAACAAAAATTGATAAATAATGGTAGAAATAAGAAGGTAAAGTCATGTAATCATATGGTTACAATTTTTTCAAATATACATACATTTGACCACATCTCATTGTAAAAATCTGTATTCGTAAATCTATTGTATACACAGAAAATCAGAGATGGGAACTGTTTTTATGCATTGAAATGTTACAAAGTAAATAAATGAAAATGCAGAGCTGGGAATGCTATTTTGAAATGAGGTTACCTTTATTTCATTGTACCATGGGATAGTTAAAGCGTAAGTAAAATTATGGTAGAACTAAGAAGGTAAAGTCATGCAATCATATGTTTAATTTTTTCAAAATTATTCATTTGACAACATCTCGTTGTCAAAATGTTCATTAATAAATCTATTGTACATATCCAAATCAGATAAGTGAACCTGCTTCCTATGCAATGAAATCTGACAAGGTAAATTACAAAAAATGCAAATATGGGAATGCCTATTTGAAATGACTTTACCTTCTTAATTTTACCATGGTAAAAATGAAAAATAAATAATTTAACAGCGGATGATGGGATATTTTGTCTATTTTGGCGTCGGCGATAACATTGTGCATGGAAACGCATTATTTTTTATAATTGATTTTATTTATTCATTTATTTTTATACCCTACAACACTATGTGTTGAGGGTATTATAAGTTTGATTGGGCCAGAATTTATGTAACACCTCGAAATATTGGTTTCCCATATAGGAAAGTATATATGGATCTTCCCAGCACGCCGAGCTGAGTCGATCTAGCTATGTATGTCCGTCCGTCCGTCTGTCCGTCTGTCCATGTTAATTTGTAATCACGCTACAGGTCGCAATTATGGCCCGATCTTCACGAAATTTAGAATGTAGGTGGGGTTAAGGTCAGAATAGAACCCTATTTCTTTTGGAGATGATCGCATAATATTTAGGGGTTGAAATGGACCAAAAACTGAAAAAAATCTTGATTTTGCAGTTGCTCTACAGGTCGCAATTATAGACCAATCGACGCGGAATTTCGCATGTAGCTAGAGTTTAGGTCGGGGAAGAAGCCTATCAATTTGGGTGGTCATTGGATAATATTTAGCGGGTAAAATAGACCATATCTTTTGTGTTGAAAAAATTCAAAATTTTTCATTAAACCGCGAATATTTTAAATCCCGGCGAAATCACAAAGCCATGACAAGGTTACTTCTGATCTTTACATTGTTGTTAACATCCATCAAATCGGATATATAGCAAAATATGTGCGATATATATGTCTATCAAAGAAGATATGCTTGAAAAATCTCTTATATGTCGAGAACGGCTGAACTGATTTCGACTGTTCTCATTAATTTAAAATGGCCTCTTGGCAGGGAAGAAAAAACGTCTAAAAAATTGCATAAAAATATCTCTCTAAAGATGAAAATATTGATTTTGTAATATTTTCTCATATTTTTTCAATTTTGTCATATTTTTGGCATATTTTCATTATACCCTACAACACTATGTGTTGGGGGTATTATAAGTTTGATTGGCCCAAAAATTATGTAACACCTCGAAATATTGGTTTCCCATATAGGAAAGTATATATGGATCTTCCTAGCTCGCCGAGCTGAGTCGATCTAGCTATGTATGTCCGTCCGTCCGTCTGTCCGTCTGTCCATGTTAATTTGTAATCACTCTACAGGTCGCAATTATGGCCCGATCTTCACTAAATTTAGAATTGAGGTGGGTCTGGGGTCAGAATAGAACCCTATTTTTTTGGAGATGATCGCCAAATGTTTAGGGGTTGAAATGGACCAAATACTGAAAAAATGTCGGATTTTGCAGTAGCTATACAGGTCGCAATTATAGACCAATCGACGCGGAATTTCGCATGTAGCCAGAGTTTAGGGCGGAGAAGAGGCCTACCAATTTGGGTGGTCATCGGATAATATTCAGCGGGTAAAATAGACCATATCTTTTGTGTTGAAAAAATTCAAAATTTTTCATTAAACCGCGAATATTTTAAATCCCGGCGAAATCACAAAGCCATGACAAGGTTACTTCTGATCTTTACATTGATGTTAACATCTATCAAATGGGATATAGAGAAAAATATGTGCGATATATATGTCTATCAAAGAAGATATGCTTGAAAAATCTCCTATATGTCGAGAACGGCTGAACTGATTTCGACTGTTCTCATTAATTCAGAATGGTCTCTTGGCAGGAAAGAAAAAACGTCTAAAAAAATCGCATATAAATATCTCTCTAAAGATGAAAATATTGATTTTGTAAAATTTTCTCATATTTTTTCAATTTTGTCATATTTTTGGCATATTTTCATTTTGAATTAAACATTTGGTAATATTTCTACAGCTAACAAAACTAAGTAGTTAGGATATCAGGATATCATATACAGATCGCATTTATGGCCCGATCCTTACGAAATTTTGCATGGAGTAAAGATGAGGGTCAGAATAGAAGCCTACTCTTTTTGGAGATGATCGCCATATATTTAGGGGTTGAAATGGACCAAAAAACTGCAAAATTGTCTGCAGGTCGTAATTATCGCCCGATTCTCACGCACATTTGAATGGGGGTTACGGACATTACAAAATCCAAGCAGTTTTGGATGGCCATCCAAAAATATTCAATGTGTGAAATAGTTTGCCAACTTTTGTAGACAAAATACGAAAATGTCCATTCCAGTGACTTTTTGGACACAAATACTGGAAAGACGCACTTCTGACTATTTCGTTAACGCTGATTTCGTTGAAGAATATAGTCAAATGTCTGTATCTCATATAGATGCGTTTCAGTCAAAAACCAATAATAAATGTTAATCTTTTGCCACTTCTGAGAGATTATAGGTCTTTGGGAAATATTGGTTCCAGATCTAGGAAGACCATTTAAGTGCAACATCTACCAATAAATTGGAAATGAGCAAATTAGTTTAAGTTGCTATTATTCGAAAATTAGAGAACGGAACCTGATGGTTTTCTTTTATTATTTGTCACAATATCTTGTGGAATTCTTTCGAGTATCTCGCCTATATAAACTGTATGGTTTATTATAGTGTTGTAGGGTATTCAACGGTCGGCCCCGCTCGACTGTAGCCTTTGCTTACTTGTTTTTTTTTTTTGAAAATGCTGTTCGGATACTTTTTGCAATAATTTTTTCCCAGCAACTCGTACTAAGTAAGTGTTACTGGGAAAGTGAACGAGCAAACCTATTTTCTAAAAATGTTGACATTTGCTCTGTTCCAGAACCTGCAACAATCTACCAGTTTTAAAATTTTTTTTCCGATATCATAAAGGAAAAA